TTCGGGATCTACGAAAGTACCCTATTGGAGGAACGGGCCCGCGAGATATCGCGAAGCCTGTTACGACAAGACGCGGTCTGGCGTAAACCTCCCTTTTATCTATGTACTTTCAAAACACTTTTTTTTGGCAATTTTGGCCATTTTTTCACCAGGGCCCCCCCTTTAAAGTGTTTAACGAGCGTGTAACGTGCAACATATAGCGAAGAAGTTTGACTGTACAGTTCTAATCATTCCTTAATTGGCTGAGCGATAGCGAAGCCCGTTCTCGAGTGCGGTTAAAAGTTTTGTCTGTGGGTCTGTCTGCGTGCGTGTGTGTGTGTGGGGCACTGCCCCTCCTGAACGGCTCGGCCGATCTGCCTGAAATTTTGCAGGGTAATTAGGTATGTCCTTGGCTCACCACACACCAAAATTCAGCTTTCTATTTAAATCCACTCGGCCACTTTACCCAAAAAAACACTTGAATAACGGGAAAAGTAGCGATATACATCGGCAACTTTGGCCCGTCCCGTACATTTAAAAATTTGGTGAATTTCGCTAATGTTTAACCCTAACGGGATCTGAAACTCAGTATGGGGTCCAAATTTATTTTATTTCCGTCATCAGCACCCTCAAAAACATCAGAAACAATGCAAAAACTCGAGTAAAAAGAATGTTAAAAATATCCCCCCTGGGATTTGAACCCGGGCCCAAAAATTCTCCGATTCACTTGAAACTGGCACCGTTTGTTTTTTCTCGTCGCCCTGATTCCAAAATCCCCCATATGCCCTCCTAGCTGTATCCGTTGCCGAAATCCCCTTCGACCCCATGTAGACCATGATGCACCTGCAGCAGCCCCCCGGGGCTCGGATCGGATTTGCTGCCACCGGGCGGTTCTTGGGGTCACCGAAGGAGGCTGCATCCCAAAATTTGGTCAAGATCGGACCAGGGGAAGCCCTCGGACGAACGAACGAACGAACGGACGCACAGTAGGGTGCCGCGAAAAAAACTTTTTTCTGAAATTGATATCGGCTCGGGTGGCAAAGTGTTCTCTCAGGGGTCAATAAACGGTTTTAAATATCACCCCCCATCGGATAATATCTTCGCCCCACAACGGCCTTGAAAATCGGAAAAATGGTTTAAAAAAGCTTTTTGGGTAGGGAATTTGTTTGCACGCTTTTGGTCACTCCCAGGCATATCCTTAGGGTTAAAAAGTCGAAAGGGGACCCCCCAAGCCTAAAAAAAATTTGTGGACAACCTCATTCTATGATTAATACCAGTTTCTGCAAAGTTAAAACATGATATTGAACAATTCTGTCATGATTTGCCTTTTAAAATTTCCCCCGTATGTCAGTTTCGCCCATTTACCGTCTTTTTCTCCGATCTGACTTGCTTTCTGAGGTCAGAAGGGTCGATTTAGGGGGGGGTTTAATTCGGGTCAAAAATCGCTAGGACGCTCTGTTTGGGGGAAAATTGGGTCAAAATAACCGAAATTGCAGAAAAATTGATTAATTAGACCCAATTTTCCCGCCAAACAGAGCGTCCTAGCGATTCTTGACCCTAAATGAACCCCCCCTAAATCGACCCTTCTGACCTCAGGAAGCAAGTCAGATCGGAAAAAAAGACGGTCGAAATGGGTGAAAGTGACATACGTGGGAATTTACAGGCAAATCATGACAGAATTGTTCAATATCATGCGTTAACTTTGCAGAAACTGGTATTAATCATAGAGTGAGGTTGTCCACAAGTTTATTTTAGGCTTAGGGGGTCCCCTTTCGACTTTTTAAGCCTAAGGATATGCCTGGGAGTGGCCGGAAGCGTGCAAACAAATTGCCTACCCACAAGGCGTTTTTAACCATTTTTCCGATTTTCAAGGCCGTTGTGGGGGCTGAAGATATTATCCGATCGGGGTGATATTTAAAACCGTTCATATTGGCCCCTGAGAGAACACTTTGCCACCCTAGCCGATATCAATTTCAGAAAAAAGTGTTTTTCGCGGCACCGTAACGCACAGCAGGGATCATATTATATGCCCGTCCCTCCGTCATTTTTTTACGAAAAATTAACGGGACGGGCCAAAAACGGCAGAAAAAAGACTACTTTTTGGGTACTTTCAACCTTCTGTCAAGTTTCATGTCGTTTGATGAGTTTTAGAGGCTGCTGATGACGAAAATAGAACCCATTCTGACCTCCGACCGAAAGCTATGTCCCATTGGTGTAGATGTTGATGACCAAATGCTATTTTTCAGGGGATCACGCCCATTTTAACGGTCGACCTAGGAAGGCAGCCTGCCGAAGGCAGGTTAGCGCCGCAGGCCAAGGTAGTTGTATACGCCAGGCGTTGATTGTCGAAGCTGGCGCAGCATCGCGAAGCCTGTTACGACAAGACACGGTCTGGCGTACACCTACCTTGTATTTTCTCTCA